TTTTCTGCATCAATTAAAATGAGAATAATCCATACTGGATGTGGAAAAAGTTCAAAATCATGAGTTGAATAACGGTGACTCCACCAGATTAAATATTAGAGCCTCACACAAAGCGGAGTGGCGACTCACTGGCTCCTACAAACCTAACAGGGATCCTTCACGCATTGCGCAACGCGTAAGTATCCCTGTTAGGTTTGTAGGCGTCAATGCGCGTTCGAGCTGGCTGCCCGCCTGCCGCGCCGCAGCGTGCCATGGCGCTTGAAGCAACTATTTCACACCAGAGGTATTGCACAGCATCTTACGAAACTGAAGGTGCTCTAATATATTAGTAATGGCAGGCATCCATCAAAAGTACGGAGCATTCCTCGCAAAATAAATCAAGATACTATGGCCCAATAAGAGAGCAGCATTCCAAAAACTCACTAAGTCCTAGCATCCGTAATTAGTGACGTTTAGCATACACCATATCGCCTGGCTGTTGCTTAATCACTATCGGCTATGAAAGGCTATAAGAAATTGTGTAGCCGGCTATAGAAGCTATTGGAAATCTTACAGTCGGCTGTAGGTCTATGGTATTTTGGAACCCAGATTTTACTGCCAATTTTTACCAGGGCAGAGTGGCGACGAATTGGATACGAGGAATGAATGACGCCAGTTTCAGAATGCCGCATCTAGACATAAACGCTGTATGTGTATCCAATATCTGAGTACCAAAATTGATCAGTGGCAAGGCGTGAATGATCGATTATCAATACCTCCTCGTTTAAAGCTATGGTAAAGAATAGATGATTAAGGTGTTCTTTGCGAACACCCTGTACATCGATCCTTCTCCATGGGTTTAAATGGCAGATCATTCGATACATCGCAAAGCACGCAACGCCACTGATATTAATACAAAGTTCTCTGCAGGATGGTTTCGATACCTTGATTGAGATAGTATACGTTTCCGCTCTTGTTCACACACACCGACACCGCAAGCACCGCAAGCACCGCAATGGTTATACACGGTCTCGCACTTTATAATAATATTTTGTGAAGGAGATGTTGCATGTGTGAGGAATTTGCGATTTGACTGTTGGTTCTTATGTAAAAGTTCGCGAGAAACACGATAATGCCACTGGTTTTCTCTGAAATCATCTCCCAAGCTCCAAAAAAGCTCTCAAAGTGAGGCCAAAATGGAGGGGATATCCTACCCTACCCTGAGAGTCCACCTCTCCATCAAAACAAACTCTCCATGCAAAGATAGGGAGCAAATACATTGACAGGGCTGCCACTTTATTTGAGGACTCCAAAACTGAAAACACGGCAACCCTGATAATGTATTTGCTCCCTATCTTTGCATGGAGAGTTTGTCTTGATGTAGACGTGGATTCTCAGGGTAGGGATATCCCCTCACTGAAAAAAAAAAAATGCTAAAATACGGTGACAAATCACCAAATTAGTTAATTCAACCCGCTGTTCTTAATCTATTTTGATGAGTTGTCACATTTTTTCACTATTTCATGCGTTGATTTTAGCAGTTTTTTTTTTCAGTGCTCCATTTTGGTCTCAACTTGAGAGCTTTTTTTGAGCTTGGGAGTTGATTTCAGAGAAAACCAGCGAAACCATCGTGTTTCTCGCGAACTTTTACATAAGAAACAATCAGTCAAATCGCAAATCCCTCACACATGCAACATCTCCATTTGCACATACTGCCCCCTCTGTCTTTCCATCTCTCTCCCTTCTCCCTCACCCTTAACGACTGGAAACGGTCTACGTCCTCGAGACAGGCCTATCGCGGAGGCGGGGGTTGAGAACCGAATCGTCGTTGGCAACGGCGCCGCGAATGACAAGGTGATGATGAAGCGATAACTCAAGATAAAGCACGCTCCCGCTCCACATCGGGAATTTTGCTCGAGACAGCTTTGATTTCGATTAATCAACACCTGACAAAAAGAGGCCGCTGCCGCTGAGCCCCGAGTCCTTTTAGAGGGTTGACAGTGGAATTCCTTAACGGCCTGCAGCTCCTTATCCGCGGCTATTAACATCTCAAGGGGACGGGGGAGGGGGTAATTTATCGAACCCATAAAAAGCGAACAGGAACGGCCGAATTCCCCACCGTCGATGGCGAAGACTTGTTTCTTTCAATAAGTATGCCCTAGGCTCTAAACTATTCGTCGCTCGTTACCTTACATTATCCACTTTACCGATAGTTAATTTTTCTTAACGTAAATATCAGTGCCCGAGAGCCAAAAGGTATCTAATTCACATCATTTTTGAAAAAATATCGAGTTAGTGTTGTTTTGGAAATCTCCAATAACATTCCGTGTGTGTGAAACATTGATTGGTCGTATCTCACGCCAGTTGTGAGATATGAAATTCCAAAAAATTGTGATTTACATTGAAGTCAATGGGGCCGACACACGGCTTTCCCCTGATGACCTGACGTCTCCCCAGCAGCCGGATTGTTAAAACTTTAACTGGCTATGTCGGCACGATAAGACAAGGTATAGCCCTATCTGTGCCTTGTAACATATCGATTTTCGATTCTTGTCGTGCCGACATAAATTTCAACAATCAGGCTGCAGGAATGACTGATACGGAGTTAGGTACCTTTTGACTCTGAGGTATAGATACATAGTGAGGGTCGAGACACGGGTCACACAGGATAATGAAAAAGAGGCTACCATAGAAGATTGGGTTCCTCCTGGGATGATACGAAAGGGACCCCTACGCCTTATGAAAGGGTGATAACAGGGGGTTTAAAATGAAATGAGGCCGTGGAAACTCCCCGATCGAAGGGTCGTGAGAGGATAGGTACTCTGGCCGTTACGCGTCGCAGAGCGCCCGGGAGCACTGTAAAAGAAGAAACTTTGCGTAGTCGTCTTGCAAAAAAAAAAAAAAAAAAAAAAAAAAAAAAAAAAAAAAAAAAAAAAAAACGAGCTGATATTTGAAAATATTGCGACACAGATACGCATTCTTTGATTTCATCCATCCGATAAGTATTAAAGATGCCTACTCTCAGTATTGAAGGATCGGTGGACGTTGTATTACCGAATGCATACGCTAACGCTTTGAAGGGGCACCTTGTTTCGAACCCCATAATTTTCGGGCAGCGCTCCGCCGTTTCGATACCAAATGTTGCGTCGCAAGATTGGAAATCTTTACTGGAACTATAACGTAAGATGGAGCTCCGTGCGCGTTCAAAAAACAAGTTACATCGGACGAATAAATCTTCCCGGAGAGTCGTAAAAATGAAAAGGCATACACTTTCGAGTGTTATGGCGGAGCAGGGCACGGCCTGTCTTACCTGTTAGCATTAAATCTCCCCTGTGCTCTGCTCTCTCCTGAGGCAGAGCTTCGCCCCGGTAGAGAAATCGTCTCATAAAATACGGGAAGGTTAAGATACATAAACTGGATGGACGGTGGGATACAACAATGTTGCCGTTGAATGAACGTAGGAGGATTCTTTCTCCTTGTTGTTGCACCGGAGTTTACAGGTCCTCATCTGGGCGTTGTTAGTTCTATATTGTCTGGGTTCATATTCTTTCCAACACCGACCCACCTGATGCTCTATAGCTGAATGGGCGCAGCGATGCAGGGTTTATTGCATTTGCACTACCCGCCAGCAATAAAATTTCACCTCATAATGCAGAACATAAATGGACCATATTTTCAGTTCCGGACATTTTGATGACCTTTACGAAAAAGTTGCAGCTCGTGTTTATACGTGTCCTTTTAATTTTTTTTTGTCTGAAGTGTAACTAAACCAAAAATACGGATATCTTTCGGTGTAAATAATGTGCGAGAGTGCGAATACTTCTTTGAATGAGGGCGGAATATCCTGCTTTTATGAATTTCAGAATAGGACATGTATAGAGGATCAAAACTAGATGGCAATTCTAATGTGACGTCACTAAAATTAAAACTAGCTAAAAAAAACTCAAACGACACCCCTAAAATTCTGAAAGCAATCGAAAAGTTTAAATATTTCGAATATATCATTTCTTTGTCGAAAACTTTTCCACTCAATAACTTCCAGATGGAAAATATCGTGTTATTCCTCTCTGAGGGGCCACTTAACCTTGGGATGCCCAAATCGGGTCGAAGTAACCCAAACCATGCTAATAGCACGTGCTCTTGCCCGTTTTATACGAGCTTTAGATATAGGTCTAAAAATACATATACATCCTAAGAAAATAATCAGATTTTAAGTCGAAGAAATAGAAAAACATTTAGTATCATCACAGCCGAAAATACCAGTGGTGTATTCGGGTCTCGTTTTTTAGCTTTTCTCCCACGTATGGAATTGGCAGCTCAAAGCGGAGCATTGCAAGTTCACGCCTCGCGCCATCGCGCCTTCAATTATGCAGATGCAGCATGGGCATCCATCAAGCACGAATAGTTGTATCTCTGCGCCGTCGTCAACGCGCCTCCTTTATTTTACTCTATTTGCATATTGTTTTTGTTTTCGTTTATCATCTCTGAGTAAGCAGTGTTCCTCCACCACTTTATGTGTAAATAAAGTATAACACTTAAAGTGTAAAGAACGTGTAATGACCGAGCCGAAGCGTTAGAATGGAGGTTGTCATATGTTCGGACTATGAAGACTTTTACGGTAACTTTTAATTTAGTGTGTAATTTAACTCAAGTAGATGGTTATTTTTTCTATGAATTTTCAGAATAAGGGAGTTACATGTGTCTATGGTTAGCTGCCACCTTTTTTTCAGACCGCTTCCATTGTTGCTGAGTTTCGACGGAAGTGGCTACAGCCACCCATGATGAGAGGGAAATTTGAGTTTGCGCATCGAGGAATGTTAATATCTTCGTTGAGAATTTCTATTTCAGTAATTTCCGTTCAACAAATCGCGCGTTTACATAAAAGTTTGATGGGAAAACATGCATCATTTTGCTTAATATCGGACCTTGTCTGGTGGTCAATTTTTTGCAACATTCTTATTTTCATCTATATAAACCTCTTAATTTTATGTTAACCCATATTTTATTGCTTTCTGTTGCAGGTATGATCCAGAGCACCGGATGATGAACGAGTGTACGTACAATCAAAACCAAGGCTACGTCGTTTTTTCGGCGATGGGATCATTTTTCATTCCCCTTGTGGTCATGGTCTACGTTTATACCAAAATTAGTTGTGTAATTGCTCAACGGCACAATCATTTAGAGGCGCTTAGTCAAAATACTACCAAGGTAAGAATGCATTTCTTTTCGTAAGGTTTGCGGTCACATAAACATCAGGAATAATTGAGGGGCTTGGGGGACAAGGCGCATAAGAGTATTTTTTGAAAAAAAAAATTGAGGTATTAATGATTTCAAGTAAAACTAGTCCGACTGCATATTCTGAGAAAAAATCGCTCCCAAATTCAATTTTTTATAAGCATCGAGAAGTCAGTTAGAACCTCCTTTCCGCCATAAAGATCTACGTAATTTCGAAACCTCAATCACTTGTTTCTCGAAATAGCAAAAACTGCACTTATGCACCTTGTCCTTCAAGCCCCTCAATTCTGGGTTTACTAGGAAATAAGTACACTCCACTTTTTTGCATGTATTTGTCGGTTATTATTATTATAATTAAACAATCTGTAATTTGTGTGATTTCCTCCGAGGTGGAGTTTTTTCGATAAAGGCTATATCACAGGCATCGTAATCTGGAGGAGAGATTTAAATCACTACGAGGAGTCATTTAACTCATTTTGCGTCTCTCCTACTTTGATATCATCTTGTAGGGCCCATTGGATTTGTTTGATTCTCATTGTTCTAATCTGCGCTCTGGCGCACCAAATATTTCAATTCCAGGCTCGGGCCTTTTTCTATCAAAGAGTATGATTTAAAGAAGAATGAGAGATTCCTTCAGTAAAATTTCCTGCTCTGACGCTATTAGATTCATTTTTCTAGACGTTATTCCTATGCTTGTTACTCTTTTTGAAGCTGTTGGGACGTCATATCGACGGTGACACTGCAAAAATACGTATATCGGTTGCTGTGTTTTGAAATCTATTCTACTATTTTATTTTTTAAAAGGAGACCGCACCTACATCACGGTTTAAAGCTTTCACAGAATATTCTTTCTAACGAGAGGGAAAATCACTGAAATTTTGTAAAATGTCCTAAAGTAGTTCTCCACGTAGAAAATGAAGTATGAAAGGAAGTCTGCAACGCCACAAACCGAGATGCGCATTTCTGTAGTTTCACCATCGATGTGTGGGACCACGTTTAGTAGAGAGGAACCAAGCCACATCAACTATATAATTTATAGTTTACATTCGTATATAATGTTAAGTTATATTTTTAACATTTAAAATAAGCTTTTTAAAGACATTTATACGTAGACAAGTGTATTCTGTTCAGTCTTCTAGGTGCAAATTAAATTAAAAAAACATCAGCTATTGCCAAATTTAATTAGGCGATTGAATTTTTTTACACAAAAAAGGTTGTGCGAATTTTTGTGCAAATTTCAGTGAATAGTCTGCATAGTACGAAGCAAATATCTCAAAAACTTCAAAGAAATCCGCACAAATACCCTCTTGTAAAAAATTGCCCAGTTTAATTCGGCAATATCTGATGTGGCTCGGTTCACGCGGTCCACTCAGTGGCTCCTCTGACGTAAGAGCGTATCTCGATTTCCGAATGAGCCCAAGATAGCATGGATATATATGTGAAACAGGGCTCAAGTGGAAAGTGAGATACGTCCATACACCACAGGTGCGACGATATAATCGCTGAGCTCAGTTTTGCCGTGCTAAAGAAAACCGCCGTATGAACATTCAAATGTTGCCAAATTTATTCTCTGCACTGGAAAAAAGTCGCTTTTGATATAGAGTCCCCGCTCTTAAAAACATTGAGAAAAAAAAAACAAGCTCTCATTTCTTTTCGGATTTTTCCTTGACTCAAAAGGAAATCCGCTTAAATCTCTTCGATTCAAGGGAAAATCCGATTGAATCAAGAGTATTTTTTCTTGTCAATGTTTATGTATTAAGAGTCTGGACTCTAGATCCAAGCTACTTTTTTCCAGTGTGAAAATATGTATTTTTGAAGTAAGTATTCATATTTTTCCTTGAAATTTCCCGACACTTTCGGTCAAATTACGAACAAAATTCAATCAAAAATCGAAGTAAAAAATTCACAAATTTCCCGAAAATTCGTGATTTTCTGACGGAGATTTGGAAACACCTGAAGGCTCATACGGCGTTCTACCTTTAGCACGGTTAAACTGCCAACGTAAGTCCGACAAAAACCGACCCAGTCCCATTCCCGCACCGACAACAGCGCAGCTCCAGCGGTGAAATATTCAGCGGTCTAAATTGCGCCTGAATCCCACCACCTTTCAGCGAGTACCGCTTTCACCCCTCGCGTCTGCGGAGCAATCGAGTACCGCGAGGGGTAGGGCAGGCCGGCGACCGGGACATTACTGATACCCGCGTGTCATCGATGAGGTTTTATCTGCATCGCTGCGGCCGGGAACGAACTCAACTCGAACTCGTCTCGGAGGATTTTATACGTCCTCGCCTCCAAATTGCCGATTGATGGCTGAGCGGAGGCAATAGAGTCTGCGGTCGGAGAGGTTAGGGCTCCCCGAGTCCCCCGATCGATGCCGCGCGCGGGTGTTTCTCTAATTTTCCTGAAGCGAGTAGCTTCGGATTAGAAGTCATGGTGCTTCGTCGTTCCCCCACGAAAGAACGTAACTACACTCCAGTGTTGCCAAATTTCCCCATAGCGAATTTTATTTTGTATATATTTGATTTAATTGACAAATGTAAGGAAAATATTTAACAATCATTAGTAATAGAGAAGAAGAGATAGAATAATATATATATTAATTGGACTGCATTTTGCAATTTGAAACTATAAATTCTGGCTCTTCTGGAAAAACACTTATGTGCATAGGGAAACTAATGGCACATACGTTGTTTTTAAACCGGGCTAGAATTAATGGTTCCAAATTGCAAAATGTAGTCCAATTATTAGTAATAGAGAAGAAGAGATAGAATAATATAGTTAATTATATTTAAGTGCTGTACTAATAAAACAGCCCTTAAATATATTGGATGCCCGATAAAAGGGTTATTATGATTAAGGATTAGAGAGAGGGTTGATACGGGGTTATTTAAAGTTCCGAACCTCTTTGGGAAGTTCTATCCCGGTTAGCTCATCAATCATCAACACCAGTGGACACCGTTTTTACCAAATTCGACCAATCAGATCCGTTGGTTTTCGATATGTCGAACCTTTTTTAGAGCCACCTCGCGAGAAGGTACCAAAATCACGCACCAACGTTGCGATTCGTTAGTCACCGAACTCAAATAAAAAGCAGCTCGAAGGTTCGGGAACAAAAGTAGTACCGGACCTCATCTGGCTAAAATTCGCTTCTTGAAAATTTCATTTTTACCGGGAGAATCTTGGGCTCTTCTAACTGAAAACTTCACTGATTTTTCTTCTGATCTCACACGTGCGAAAATCAGACAAATGTTTGACAAAAGTTACGCCGGTACATTCTTGGGAAACATTAAATTGTTCGAGTCGATTTTGCAACCTTGGAATAGAGTTACGTTCCTTCGTCTGGGGAAGGACGACTTGTTCCGAGATTCAGTTAGTGCCAGGAATTTGATTATTGTTCCAGCTGGGTCAGGAATTCCCGATTGGGATACGTGGAGGAACTGAGAGGGGCCGGGACCTTACCATCCCACAATTCTATTCGGCCTCCTTTGGATAGTTTAAGGGGTTTTGCGAAATAATTCCTTGACATTACGTTAATTTCCAGACGAAAGGACGTATCTTCATTTGAGGGTTGCAAAACTGATTTAAATAATCGATTTCATCAGAAATGTGTCACTTTATTGATTTTTTATTGATTTTTTTCTCTTTGTGTGTTACAGAATAACAAAATTAGATCGGATAGTGATCACCAAAATCACGATTTTGAAAGGTCCGATAGGGAATCTAGTGAAAGCGAGGACAATAGCCACAAACAAAATAAGTGAGTACAACGCCCAGCACAAGTAACTTAAGCATATTTGATTCTTATGTTCATTTCACAGGACACACATTTTATTTGTATTTTTGAATAATTTAATTTCTTAATATGATCAATAATTGCATGAATGTAAAAGTTTTCCCAGGAAAGATGAAATATTAATTACAAAAGCGGTGAGAAAATGAAAGTGAGTTGAAAGTAACTCGATGCCACTGATGCCAGCAATTTTGAGCGTGAGAGCTTTAGAAAAAGTCAAAGTGCCTTCATTTTTAATGAACGCAACATACATATCCTCGGAGCAGGTATAGTTGCATTTATGTTACGCGTGAATGCCTGGGGATATTGCATTAAATGGATCGCATATAGCAAAAAGGAGCAAGCGCGATTACAGTGTTTTCAAAATTGTCCAACTTCCTCTTTACTTTTAAACATACATGTTTAGTATTAAAATTTACGCAATTATTTTTCTTTAAAATTAACAATTTTTTTGGTGGGAAGCAACAACTATTTGCTACTCTGGGAGAATTTTTCAATAATTATGCAGAAGTGACATTTTTACAACACTGCAATCGCGCTGGTCCATTTTTGCTAAATGCGATTCAAATGATAGTCTAGCTCATACTTAAGTATCACAATTACTGCCAGGCGGACCAAAGCGATGATTTGCTGTCACTCATTAAAATTTTAAGCCACCGCTTCCAACAGATTCGCTCGTATCATTTATATTCTTCTTCCTTTTTCTCTTCCTCTTCTTTTTCTTCTACTTCTTTTTCTTCATCTTCTTTTCCCTCTTATTTTTCTGTGGGAAAAAACGATTTTAGCTTATTACCAATTGAACAAACTTGGCCAGAATCAGCCCAATCACATGTTACGGTGCCTCATTCCTTCTCGCGTTTTCTCTTTTTAATAGAAAATGAAATCGATAATTGAGAAAGAATTAATCTCATTCAATATTAATACGCAAAATGCGTTACCACAATCATTTACTGGCTCATCAAAGAGCATGATAAAATTTGGAATTTTCTATGAATTTTTCATCGACTACAAAAAAACACTCTTAAAACTTTAAAGTCAGGATTTTGCTTAGTTTACTTATACAAATAAACAAAAAAATATAATGAATAATAAATTATGGGAGAAAATTAAACACAGTTTGACGTCTAGTTAGTGACGACCTCTTTTAGCAGGGCTAGAGCAAGGGAAAAGTTGCGCGTGCATGACGGCGCAGAGATACAACTATTCGTGCTTGATGGATGTCCGTGTTGCGTCTTCAAAATTGAAGGCGCGAGGCCTGAACGCGCAATGCTCCGCTCTATGCTACCAATCAGTTCTCACCCATATCAGGGTGAAAAATTAAAACAAGCAGGAAGCTCCAACGCATTGGCGTCGGAGAGCGGCTCTGGGGGCAGTAGTTGTAGTCAAGAATGAGGGCCTAGACACATTTTGTCATTGATGTACAATCCGACAACTGTCGATTCATGTTTTGTAACTTAGCAGATTTACGTAGCCGGTGTATAAATGTGTATTGGGCTTTGATATGGCGAATACATGGCATTATCACTTGTTGTATACTTTTAATTTTGAAAGCTCTTTGGAGGTCCGCTTCCTAAAAAATCNTCGGCAATATCTGATGTGGCTTGGTTCCTATCCACTAAACTCGATCCATAAAGTCACCTCTCTTGCGTAATGGTGTATCTCGATTTCCGAATGAGCTCAAGGAAGCATGGATTTATATGTAAAACAGGGCCCATATGGAAATTGAGATACGTCCATACACCACAGGTGCGACGATATAATTGCTGAGCTCAGCTATGCCGTGCTAAAGAAAAACCGCCCTATCATCATTCAAATATTACCAAATTTCTTCTTTGAAAATATGTTTTTTTGAAGTTAGTTACGCATATTTGAACAACGTTTAACAGAAAGGAACCAAGCCACATCAGCTATTGCCAATTTTAATTGGGCAATTTAATCTTTTACGGGAAAACGTTTGTGCGGATTCCTTTGAAAATGTTGAGGAATTTGCTTCGTACTTTGGAGAAAATTCCCTGAAATTTGCACGAAAATCCGCACAACCGTTTTCATGTAAAAAATTAAATTAGCCGATTAAATTTGGCAATAGCTGACGTGGCTTGGTTCCTTTCTGTTTAACGCGGTCCATGTGTCCTTGAAATTTTCCGACCTTTCGATCAAATTATGAGCAAAATTCTGTAAAAAATTGGAAGAAAAAATGCACAAATTTTCCTCAAAAATTCCTGATTTTCCAAAGGAGATTTGGCAACACCTGAAGACTCATACGGCGTTCTTCCTTTAGCACGGTTAAACTGCCGAGGTAAGTCCGACAAAACACCGACCCAGTCCCATTTCCCGCACCGACAACAGCGCAGCTCCAGCGGTGAAATATTCAGCGGTCTAAATTGCGCCTGAATCCCACCACCTTTCAGCGAGTACCGTTCTCACCCCTCGCGTCTGCGGAGCAATCGAGTACCGCGAGGGGTAGGGCAGGCCGGCGACCGGGACATTACTGATACCCGCGTGTCATCGATGAGGTTTTATCTGCATCGCCGCGGCCGGGAACGAACTCAACTCGAACTCATCTCGGAGGATTTTATACGTCCTCGCCTCCAAATTGCCGATTGATGGCTGAGCGGAGGCAATAGAGTCTGCGGTCGGAGAGGTTAGGGCTCCCCGGGTCCCCGGATCGATGCCGCGCGTGGGTGTTTCTCTAATTTCCCTGAATCGAGTGGCTTCGGATTAGAAGTCATGGTGCTTCGTCGTTCCCCCACGAAAGAACGTAACTACACTCCAGTGTTGCCAAATTTTCCCATAAGCGAATTTTATTTTATGTATATTTGATTAAATTGATGAATGTAAGGAAAATATTTAACAATCAATCACTGGGGGAAAAAAACACATTGGATCTAAAATCCAGACTCTTGAATACATTGACAAGATAAAATACTCTTGATTCAATCAGATTTTTGCTTAAATCAAAAGGAAATCCGCTCAAATTAAGAAGCTTGGTTCTTGATTTCAGCAAACATCCGATTGAATCAAGAGTATTTTTTCCTATCGATGTTTTTAAGAGTCTGGACTAAAGATCTAATGTGTTTTTTTCCAGTGTTAGTAATAGAGAAGAAGAGATAGAATAATATATATAGTAATTATTAGTAATAGAGAAGAAGAGATAGAATAATATGTATAGTAATTAATAGTAATAGAGAAGAAGAGATAAAATAATATAGGTAATTATATTTAAGTGCTGTACTAATGAAACGACACTTAAATATATTAAATTGATATATTTATTTTAGGATGCCTGATAAAAGGGTAATGATGATAAAGGATTAGAGAGAGGGTTGATACAGGGTTATGTAAAGTTCCGAACCTCTTTGGGAAGTTCATTCCCGGTTTGTCTCATCAATCACCAACACCAGTGGACACCATTTTTACGAGATTCGACCAATCATATCCGTTGGTTTTCGATAGGTCGAACCTTTTTTAGAACCAACTCGCGAGGTGTTACCAAAATCACGCACCAATGTTGCGATTCGTCAGTCACTGAATCGGAAGTTCCGAACTCAAATAGAGTGACAGCTCGGAGATTCGGGCACAAAAGTATGACCGAACCGCTAAATAAAATTCGCTTCTCGAAAATTTCATTTTTACCGGGAGAATCTTGGGCTCTTCTAGTTGAAAACTTCACCAATTTTTCTTCTGATCTCACGCGTGCGAAAATCAGACAAATGTTTGACAAAAATTACACAGGTACATTCCTTTGGAAAAATCAAATTGTTCGAGTCGATCTTGCAACCTTGGAATGGAGTTGCGTTCCTTCGTCTGGGGAAGGACGACTTGTTCCGAGATTCAATTAGAGCCGGGAATTTGATTATTGTTCCAGCAGGGTCAGGAATTCCCGATTGGGATACGTGGAGGAACTGAGAGGGGCCGGGACCTTGCCATCCCACAATGCTATTCGGCCTCCTTTAGATAGTTTAAGGGATTTTGCGAAATAATTCCTTGACATTACGTCACTCTCCAGACGAAAGGACGTATCTTCATTTGAGGGTTGCAAAACTGATTTCAATAAATAATCGTGAAATGTGAAATGTGTCACTTGAAACTATTAATTTTTTATTGATTTTTTTTCTCTTTGTGTGTTACAGAATAACAAAATTAGATCGGATAGTGACCACCAAAATCACGATTTTGAAAGGTCCGATAGGGAATCTAGTGAAAGCGAGGACAATAGCCACAAACAAAATAAGTGAGTACAACGCCCAGCACAAGTATCTTAAACATATTTGATTTTTATGTTCATTTCACAGGAGACACATTTTATTTGTATTTTTGAATAATGTAATTTCTTAATATGATCAGTAGTTGCATGAATGTGAAAGTTTTCCCACGAAAGATGAAGTATTAATTACAAAAGCGGTGAGAAAGTGAAAGTAACTCGATGCCATTGATGCCAGTAATTTTGAGCATGAGAGTTTTAGAAAAATTCAAAGTGCCTTCATTTTTAGTGAACGCAACATAAATATCCTCGGAGCAGGTATAGTTGCATTCATGTTACGCGTGAATGCCTGGGGATATTGCATTAAATGGATCGCATATAGCAAAAAGGAGCAAGCACGGTTACAGTGTTTTCAAAATCGTCCAACTTCCTCTTTCCTTTTAAAAATACATGTTCAGTATTAAAATTTACGCAATTATTTTCCTTTAAAATTAACAATTTTTTTGGTGGGAAGCAAAAACTATTTGCTAATCTGGGAGAATTTTTCAATAATTATGAAGAAGCGACATTTTTACAACACTGCAATCGCGTTGGTTCATTTTTGCTAAATGCAATTCAAATGATGGTCTAGCTCATACACAAGTATCACAATTACTGCCAGGCGGACCAAAGCGATGATTTGCTGTCACTCATTAAAATGTTAAGCCACTGCTCTCAACAGATTCGCTCGTATCATTTATATTCTTCTTCCTTTTCTCTTCCTCTTCTTTTTCTTCTACTTCTTTTTCTTCATCTTCTTTTCCCTCTTCTTTTTCGGTGGGAAAAAACGATTTTAGCTTATTACCGATTGAACAAACTTAGACAGAATAAGCCCAATCACATGTTACGGTGCCTCATTCCTTCTCGCGTTTTCTCTTTTTGATAAAAAATCAAATTGATAATTGAGAAAGAATTAATCTCATTCAATATTAATAGGCAAAATGCGTTACCACAATCATTTACTAGCTCACCAAAGAGCATAATAATATTTGGAATTTTTTATGAATTTTTCATCGACTACAAAAAAACACACGAACTTTTAAGTCAGGATGTTGCTTGGTTTACTTATACAAATAGACAAAAAAATAATGAATAATAAATCATGGGAGAAAATTAGACACAGTTTGACGTCTAGTTAGCGACGCCCTCTTTTAGCAGGGCTAGAGCAAGAGAAAAGTTGCACGTGCATGACGGCGCAGAGATACGACTATTCGTGCTCGATGGATGTCCGTGTTGCGTCTTCAAAATTGAAGGCGCAAGGCGTGAACGCGCAATGCTCCGCTCTATGCTACCAATCAGTTCTTACCCATATCAGGGTGAAAAATTAAAAAACAAGGCCATTAAACGTCTCTTCTATCTTTGACTGTGTCACTCACGTGGCCCTTGAATCGCATTCACAAATAAACCAAACGGAACCAACAGCCAACACAGCAAGAAAATGGAGTAGCGAAAGGACGCGCTTTAATGACGTCGCAGAGATACAACTATTTGTGCTTGATGGATGTCCGTGTTGCATATGGAAAATGGAAGGCGCGAACTTCTTTGTCTACCAAGTATTTTTCTCGAAATATTCGGATAACTCTTCCGAAGTTTCTCCCGAAATTCTCTCTCGCGTAATTCGGGATATTCTCCCTATTTCGCAATCAGAAGAGAGCGCAGCACTGTTGTGCCTCCTGGGTGATAAGCCGCTGAACCACATCGGGGAAGCTTTTTCGATCCCTTTGCTGTGGATTCTCCAATTAGACGAGCGTGAAATTCCAACGGGCCCAACATCGGCATTTTAACCTTTTGTTTCGTGTTTTGACGCTCATTCACCAAAGCCACACGGTAGAATAAATACGTGTGAAAGGGAGGAATTTGTTTGTTTGTGCTGTGTGTTTTTTTCTCACAGGCTTCATGGTGCGGCTATTATGAGTTTTCTTTCGTACTGTTTTTGAACATATGGCGGGGAACAATATACATATGTGAATGTATGAAAGAAATAAGGGCACAATTATAATTTAAGACTTTTTCACACACACTAAGCCCATCAAAATTAAACATTTTTCTCATTTCTAGGGAGGTTTTTAGAATTGATCTCATAGAATACATCTACTAATTTGTGACGTTATAATTGTAGTTCGGACTTTAGTGTCAGCCTCCTGAACATAATTGTGAACCGACCCTCTAAAATTTTAACGTGAAATGGAAATGTGTCACGATCAAATGCCGGAACGTACTTTTGCATGAGAAAAATCACACAGATAGATTATTCTGCATGAACCGTTCTATCAAAGCAATTAAAAGAGTCTAGAATAAAATCATTTTAAAAGAGAGGACCAAGTTCTGTTCAGGGTGTAAAACGGGCTTGGTTGCTTTTGTAAGTCAAAATCAAATTCATCGAGACGATCATGAAACTCTCAAAAGGTGCACAGAGCACAGTTACTGTGCGCCGCAAAACTCAGTATGTGGTTTGGGTATTTTAACTTAAACTTCAAAAACCCCAGGACAGATATAATGTTCAGAGAAATAACAGCGTGGACTTTCCAGTATATTTCTATAGTTCCTAGAAAACTGACATAGGAAACGTGTGTCGTCGTGAATTGCGGGCAGTCAATTTTCTCTGAAAGGTCCGACTTTTAGTTGAAATTCAGTGGAAAGATCAAAAGTAATTAAAAATTGTATAATTACTCCTCAGAGGCGTCCCTGCGATTTGCGGACGTAGAACATTTTCACATTTTACCGCAATAGTGTCCGTCTCTGTACAATAACTCAACCTCCGGGGAAACTTCAATCCTTTGATGCCTACACGGACTTCTTTCCATTGAATCTGAGCCGACCAAAATGCAAAGTTGAACAAAAGGGTCGAGTCCATTTCGCTCTTTCTAGGTGCATCCTAATATTAATTTTAGTATGTAATTTTCGTATCCGCTCGGAACTAAATGCCAGCATTGAATGCGAGTTCATGCAATGACATGCGAGGATAGCGTCCAAGAGTGCAAACGTAACAGCAAGGACAAAAAGGACAAAAAGAAAGGTGACGCCACCAGCGTCACGCTTATTTTGTTAACTAAAACCAATCATCAATTCATCACGTACGAAAGATTATCAGATCATATTCTCATTATTTAGAGTTTGCCTCAGACCTGCTGGGCCCACACGCTGGACAAGTGTTTGCTACGCTGCCATGATAAAGACACACGCCGTATGAGCATTCGAATGGTGTTAAGCCTCTCCCGATAAATTGTGTATTTTTGAGCACAGTTGTGAATATTGTTTCTTGATATTTTCAGATATTTTAGATAAATTTGCGAAATGAAGTATCTGAAAAATTGGAAAGGAAAATCTTCACAAGTTTCCTGGAATATCTGTGGTCTTTTCAAAGTAAATTTGGCAACACCTGAAGGCTTATACGGCGTTTTTCCTTTCAGTATGCATACATACATGTATACTGATCTTGTTGTTGTTTTTTTTTCAATATTTTTTATTCCATTTTTGGTTGCCCTTTATGCTGTAACTTGCGAGTGGCTAGCGCTCTGAACTATTAACAATACGATTCAGGTCCAATTTTGGTGGCTCACGCCTGACTTTTCACGAGGTTGCTAATTTTCAACCATAAGATTTGGTGAATGTTACATTGTAATTTGAAAAAAATCTAACCCAAAATTACGGTTATAAGACATTTCGTCAACGATTTTTTGTCCGCGCACCTGTTTTTTCCAGTAATTTATGTCCACGCGTTTTTTCGGCACGGGAGTTTTGGTCCACGAGCCAGTTGAGACCCGAAGTTAATTGGCCCACATGTAAATACAAACGACAATTGCTCACGACGTTTTTGGATGAAAATATATAATGTCTTGGAAGAATGCAGGTTTGCTTGTTTTTTGTTTTGTCTGTTTGGCCCAAAGGGAGAATAATATATAGTTGAGAGTTTTGGTAAAAATGGGGGAGCGTCCATTCCATGAGACAAAATTCACTAAAACTGTCTAAACCTCTTTGGTGTAACAGGACTTCATTATCTTTCAAGATTTTCCCACCTTCTTATACCTGAAGCGGATAAACCTCTATATTTGCCTCAGCTAAAGGCCCTTAGATTTTCCCAGTGTACGATAAGTATCTTGATTTATTTTGCGATCGGTTGCTTCATTTAAGATCTGTACTTTTAAAGGATGCCTGTCATTCTTAATACGTTCAATTTCGTAGAATACTGTGCAGCATTGCTGTTGTGAAATAGTTGCTTCAGGCGCCGCCGCACGGCGGGCGGGCGGCCAGCGCGAATCGCGCATTGGCGCCTACAAACCTAAGTGGATACTTCAAGCGTTGTGCAATGCGTGAAGTATCCACTTAGGTTTGTAGGCGCCAGTGAGCCTCTCGCGCTGGCAGCACGCCGCTCCGCTCTGTTAGGCTTTAATATTAATACTCGCATAGTCAGCGTTTTGCAACTCATGATTTTGAAATGTTAGCACACTCTGCATTGATTCTTCTCATTTAAATTGATGGGGAAAAAATATGTATCCAGTTATCAAAGGAGAATAATATTATAACGTGTGTTTTTTAATTAGTGGTGGTTGCGTGTCAAATTAAATGATTTGCAAATCACTTTAATTTTTTCTTTTACATTTTGTGGTTTTATTGTGCTGCAGCGAGGTGTACGCGCAACGAAACGCTCAAAATTTGACGTATTTGACTCTAAAAGATCGAAGTACAAATGGGTTAAAACTAAAGATTGCGTTTTTCTTGGTTTTTTTTTCCCTCTTTTATTCATTTATGAAGTTTCTGTCGGCGCAATGCGGCTCATTGAGATTCAGTGGCGTAACGGGCGCCCCCGCAGACCCTGCTATGCAGGGGGGCCCAGGCGCCTAGGGGGCCCTCGGCCGCCGGAATTTTTTTCTCTCTCTCTCTCTTTGATGCTTAGCTTTAGTTTCAAACTTTGAGCCTTCACTTACCAAGATGGGGCTTCTTTCTCTGATTTGTATTGTTAGCTCGTGGTTTTTCATATACTTCTTTCGGAC